GCATCTGCAAGCTCCTAAGCAGTAAGCCAGTAGTAGCAAAGGTTACTTTCTTGGGATAACTGGCCAGCATATGGACCTTGAGTATGGCATTTCCAAAACCATTCTTTATCCTAAATTAGCTAGAGCTTTCCAAGAAGCTGCGACAAGTTAGTACAGCAACTGATGTGTAGACCAGGGTTCAGATTCAGTCTGATATAATCCTGAAGAAGCATGTGTCTCAGGATCACCACCTTATTCTAATGTTGCTTGGGCCTTGATTCTTGGGCCAAAATCCTGCTGGGAGAAGAAAATAAACCAATTTTTGCTGTTGTTGCTGCTGCTGCTGTTAACTGATTGTCCCAGAGTGTAGAAAGGTTATTTTCAGAGTTTCTAGAATATGAGACAATGCTGAATTTCAGGGGAAAAAAGACAGGAAAACTATCCCTACAGAGTCAATGGCCTGGGAGATCTGGTGATATGCACACCCTTCTAAAGATGAGTGAAAGAATTAACACACACCTATGTGCATGCGTGCGCGCACACACACACACACACACACACACACACACACACACACACCCTTCTTTAAAGATAAGTGAAACCACACATGGTCTGGCTGGCTCTAAAGCCAGGACTCTTTCCACTACACTAAGCTTCCAGATGGTGCTGCCTTAGGAACCAACCTCCACAGTATCTGTTGCACACCAGGGGACCCATTCCTCTATCACAGCCTCCCATGGATACCCTAATACTGGGGTTACAAATAACAAGAACCAAGTTAGCTCCTTCTTCCCCTTTGGTGGCAGGTAATGAACCTGAAAATATGCACTATTTTCCCCGAGCCTGCATCAAATTTCACTCCTGCAGCAGACATCACTTGACAAGTGCTATGTGTAGTGGTACAATCCAACAAAATGAAATGAAGAAAATAACTTTATTTTTCATTGCTTCCACCTCTTATTTGAATTGTGAATACTCTAGCTATGTCTCACACATAGCCTGTCTAGAAACTCATTTTATGATGAAATATGCCCCTGTGTGACTTGTATTTGAAACCGCCCTGGCTTTCATTATTAGCCTGGGGTAAAGAACCAGGTGACGGCTTATGAAAAGCTCTGAGGGGCTCTGAACTTTCTTTACACCACTCTTTCTCATGGTAGGTGACACACATCGCCAGGCATTCTCTTCCAGAAAATAAAACACTTGCAACTAGGAATCATCTAAATCTTGCCAAAGGGAGAAAAGTTCTATTCTGTAATATCACGAAACGATGCAGGAAATGCGCGTAGGATATAACATCAAGTAACAAAGGAGGATATAAAAGGGTCTGAATAGGATGACTCAAGCACGCAGTATTCTAGAAAGCCAGTCCAAAAGGAAGCAACTTAGAATGTCAATGGCAGCTATTTTTGCTGCATGAGAATATACATGATTACTTGGCTTCTCTCATTTCAGTAATAAGCACATATGGCATCTAAAAAGTTAAATGAGATTACCAAACAGGAAATATCTTTTTTCCAGAAAGAGGCCTATGCATGATTCAGTTTTTGCTTTTATCAACACCTTTATATGAGGACATAACTGAGTAATACAAGGCACGAAATTTTCTAAGAAAACAGTTACAGGACAATCATGTCGATGAATACAGATAAGGACATTGTTAACCTTACAAACCAAACATAGCAGGGGACAGAAAACAATATACTGTGAACAGTAAAGCTGACCCCAGAAATGAAAGTTTAAAAATCTACTACTTAAATCCACCATAACAAAAAATTTAAAGAATATATATATATACACATACACATAGGTACATGTAACAGTTTAAATAAGTAAAGAAAATACATGTGGTAAAATCCAATGTGTAGGGGACTGGGGATTTAGCTCAGCGGCATAAGCGCCTGCCTTGCAAGCAGGCAGTCATGAGTTCGATCCCCGGTACCGATAAAAAGGAAAAAGACAAAAAAAAAAAAAAAAAAAAAAAAAAATCCAATGTGTAAAAATGCCTCCTAGAAATTACATTTGGATGAACTAATAATGAATCTTTAGAAAAAACTTAAATATTACTCTTACATGGGTTGAGAAGCATTTTCATTAATTCAGAAGCAAGTATACTATAAACACTGTACGGACAGCCCCAGTCAATGCAATGAGACAAGAAAACAGATTAAGTACTTAAGGACTGAAACATGCAGAAACTTAACTGGAGCTTTTATGTTGAATCTATAGAAAATCCAAGAAGTTCTGAAGAAGGTAAGAATTCAACAACATTTTTTACATTCAAGATTCAAGATCAAACTGTACACTGCCTCTTCCATTTGAAGTTCTATATATTTTGACCAACTCAGCAGCATTTGTTTAACACAGTAGGCAGGACTCAAGAATGAAATAGTCTGGTTCCTGCAGTTCATTTTGTCTTTTAATGCATGCATGCGATTCCAGGGTACCCTGGTCCAGAAAGCACATCTCCCATAAAAAATTATTTATCACTAGTGCACAATTGCAAATAACTGTAGAATGAAACTGTGTAACAAACCAACAATATATTTTTTCAGACCTCTCTGACTATAAAATGGGCTGAAGAAGAAGAAATGATGAGGAAGAAGGGGAGGAGGAGGAGAGAAGAGAGAGGAGAAAGAAGCAGTGTGTTACAGACTAAATATTCAGGTCCCACCTGAAGTTTGGGTGAAGCTCCAAGTCCAGGGAGATGGTCAGGAGCAGGATGTCTGGGAAGCAGTGAAGCTCAGATGAAGTCAGGAGAGCGAGGCCCTTGTGACAGACACAGTGGGCAAACAAGGACAGGGAAGTAGACAGGGAAGGAGGAAGGAGGGAAGAGGAAAGGGTTCTGCTCTTTGCCTTTCCAGTGAGGACACAGCTAGAAGGCAGTCATCTAGAACCCAGGGGAGAATTCACTCTAGGAATGAAATTGGGTGGCACTCTGAGAGATCTCAGGCTTCAAGTTGCCAGGTCTGTGAGAAATGCCTTTTTGTTGCTTAAACCACCAAAGTGGATGGATGATGCAAGGAGAAAAATAGGGAAAAGAGGGAGGGATGAAAGAAAACAGCAGAAAAAGAAAGGATAAAGAAAGTAGGAGAAAAAGAGATAGGGAAAAGGGAGAGAAAAGAAGACTATAGATAATCTTTATTAAGCATTTAACATATGCTGTTTGTAGTGTTTTATTTTATTTCAATTAATCTTCCTAGTGAACCTTGAGGTTTATCATATCACATGCTCATTTTATAAAAGAAAATGAAGTTTACAGAGGTGAAGAAGTAAGGGTGTTGCATAGCCAGACTTTTTACCTATGTCTTGCATTCATTGCATGTATTTATTCTAATTTAAAGCTTCCTGGGAGGTAAAACTGAGAAGTTTGCAAAGAGTCACCTTCATTGCCCCCCCCCCAAATCTCCAACTAAGCCAGTGTCCCAAAACCCTGCATCCTCTCTTTACAATGCTTCTGGTTTTGCATGTTAAAATTAATAATGAAAAATATGCACTAAGATACGATTTGTAATGCATTAAGCATTCAAGAGCACAAGGTTAGCGGAATGGTTAAAGTTGAGGTAAAATGTAACTTACCAGTTTCAACTGATAAAGCAATTGAATTCTAACACAACACCAGGCCTCCAAATCCTTTTATTCTTCCCACACAGGTCTTCTCTCCAGCACTGTTCTCCCACCCACTTACTTGCTTTCTATCATTCTTATACTATGGTGCATAAAAATCCAAGGTTTCCATCAAGTTTCAGCAAATAAAACAGACTTCCTTCAAAATGTCTGTGTTTCAAATAAACATGAAAAACAAAATTTATGGTGCTTTCTGGCAGTTTGCCAGTCCAAGAGCTTTTTGGTATCACATTTATGTCCCCTGCTGTATGCAGAGCTTCAGACAATCACCATCACAAAACAGGACTAGACACACACAGTGACATCATGAACAAATCACTACTCAACCAAGCGGCCAGGGGTATCTTGGTTTGCAAATCCAGGTGGACAGATTTTAAAACCTGAAAAAGAATTTTCTGAATCCTTTTCCAGACAGGGCAGGGGAAATGCTGAAACCACAGGGAGAACACACACACACACACACACACACACACACACACACACACACAAGCTTACTTGTAATTACAATAGGGCACAGGCTCACTAAAAAGCAGGGTCGCAAAGCCAAGCGATCAAATTCTGTCCAAAACATAGAAAGTACAGTCATTTATTTGTCACCCCCAGCTTGGGAATCTTTATCTGCATCTGTCCAGCACTCTCTGTGACCTGTACAGGATTTACACAGTAAAGGAGAACACCAGCTTGGAGGGAGTTTACAGGATAGCTGACCCACAAAACATGGCATATGTTAATAAACTGAAACACTAACAATGTGCTACCAAATCAAAACAAACAGAAGCCACCAACTCCAGCTGAGATTACAAATGGGCTCTGCCAGGAGACTTTACTACCGTCAACCTGGTGGATGGATGAGCAACAGGCAGCACAGAGAAAGTGACGAACAAGGAGAAGAATTATAGCCACAGGCCACTGGTTCTTCAAGTGTTGCTTCTGGATCTGCAGGACCAACACAGCCTGGGAACTTCGTAGAAACACCAAGTCGCTGGTTGCTTCAGACCCACAGAATCAGGGAAGGACCTCAATAATCTGCACTTTAAGAAGCCCTGCAGGAGACTGGCGCCACAGAATCTGAGACACATGGGTACCTGCAAAGGTGAAATCCAACAGCAGAATGCCTGGAGCATTAACCTCGGAGGAACAGAGAGCGTCAGGGAGAGGACGCCAGCAGGATGGGTACACGGCATATTCAGAAGAAGGATTTGTATATTAGGAAAAAAACTTTAAATTTTTCCTGGGGATTAAGACAGTGTCATAAAACTACAATGAACATTAACGCACCAAGTGACTTTAAAAACACAGGCAATCATAAGTACACTTCTTTATATCATTCCAGAGATAAAAACTTCAGTCTTGCACAGAATAAATCATAAAGAAGGCAGTGAATTTTACCCTACCTTTCTTTCTGGAGTCTTTCTTGGCGCTGGTTTTCACAGCTACTTGAAGTTCTGTCTCAGTTGACATCCTACTTAATCCTTAGTCCACTTCACACAGCTCCAGGGCCTCGGCCAGGCTCATTGAGGATCCTCTCCAAGAGAAAGGCTCCTCCCTTCAGAAACGACACCCCGAGCTGGACATGTCATTCACTCTTGTGGAGTGCTGCAAACCAAGGGAAGAGGATGTCAGAACACTGGTTCTTTTGAAGTAAAACAGAAACCACATAAACAACCACACAGGAAGCAGGAGACCACAAGCTTGGTGTGCAAACTGCCCACACAGCTTCATAAAGCCAGTGGGTAGGTTTCTATGAACAGCTGGGCAGTTGATCTGCAAAACCACTTCTCACACTCGGTAACGAAGAACAGATCTTTAACCTCTGGAATTTTCAAGAGGGGCAAAACCACACTCTTTATATCTCATGCTCCTTATTGTCAAGCAGCAGACACCACCCAGAAAATATCACAAAGACGTATTTCCTGACCAACCCCATGGGGTCATTGCCAAGGATAGGGCAGCCATTCATCAGCCAAGCTCGACCGAGTCCCGGCATAGGAGAGTGACCTGCGGTCTGCCCGCACTGGCAGGCGTGGGAGGGGCATAGAGCAGACACGCATTTAGGCTCCGAGGGTAAGGTGACAAATGGGGCTGAAATTTTTTCCAGCAAGCCAATTTTTATGTCAGCTTTCCCCCAGCTATAAGAGCAGACAAGCATTTAATGTGGGGAGAAAAAGGGAAGAAAAGGAGCAGGCAGACACACATTTCATTCATTCCCTAATAAATATGCATTGCACAATACCAGGTACTATTAAGTTCAGGCAAAGCTTGGAGGAGAATATGGTAATTACAATAACACAGCCACTTCAATTACAGCTGGTATTTACTAGGCACCCACTGGATACTATGCTGATTCACATACATTATTTCATTTGATCTCCTTTAAATTGAAGAAATTTAATCTCTTTGTCACTGGTCTTTCCCGGTGACTACCTGTCTGATAGTTATATCTAAGAATTCTGCTGAAAATAACTATATCACTCCTACCCACGTTTTTTTTAAAATATTAAGAAAAGTTACTAGAAATGGAGAGATGGATCTTCAAATTGCATAGCTGATTCTGAACTCATTCCACAGAATTACAATTGGGTTATTCTGTGGAGTTGTCCCTGAATGCCAGCGTCAGCTCAGAAAAAATACTAACCCAAACCTAATCATCATGACAATCAAATATGGTCTCATATAAAGGCTACATAAAATAAAGCTTAAGTATGAAGAACATTCCACTGACCCAAGATATCTGACTTAATTTTTGGTTTTAATAAGCTATGCTTTAAAAGGACACTGTGGGGAAGTATGTATACAACTAGAGAGCAGAAAACCAGAATGGCATCTATGGCATCGTCCGCAGAAGACAAGGACTTCTGTCATATCTGGACCATTCATCTACAGCAGGCCCCAAGTTCTCCTTCCCTACTCCTCTTCCCCAAAGACCACATCCCACAGGAGATGACAGTCTTTGACTCGCTTCTATAGAAGCACAATTAATTTTTATCTACAATATTTATTGTTTTATTGAAATAAATACTTACTAAGAATCTATGCTGCCTCAGTGCTGTTCATATTGACTGAGCAACATGCTGGCTAAGAAAACAGACACAGTCAAAGTCTGGTTCCTATCCTTAAAGAAGCTCAACCTGGCAAAAGTGTCAGTCACATGAACAATGACACACATACGTGACCAGAACTAAAACAGGTGCAAACACCAAGCAGACTGGTGATAAAAGGGCAAAGATTCATGTTTGATCAGAAAAGTCAATAAAGCTGCATTCAGGATAAACCCTCCTCTGCAGAATCATGAAGAATAATGCTTCTGTCACGTGAGTAAGGAAAAGGACCAACAGGTTCTCAATAAGCATATGCAGAGTGAAGAAATGGATGAAGGAAGGATTGTTTTAGGCAGAAGCCTACACATGTGCAAAGGCAAAAAGGCTTGAAATCAACAAAGCCAAAATATTAAAGGAATGCACAAGTGCAGTAGGGATGTAATATACACTTTGCTGTTTTCTCACTTCTTCCTTGTACTACTGTTTTCCTGGGAAATCCCTTTGGTCAAGTCTGCCCTGACCTTCTGCCAAACATTCAGAGTTCAAATCAAAAGACAAATTTCAAGCAGAGAGGTTTCCAATCCTTGTACTAATATGGAATTTCTATCTATCATAGGACTAGGTCTTGGCCACGTTCTTAGTCTCAGTCCTTGAGCCACCATGTGATATTGAGAAGGTCACTCTACTCTTCCTTCGTGTCCCCCATCTTTACTACGGGACTAATACTGCCAAATCCATGGGAGTGTTGTAAAAATCACATAGGTTCACAAATGCAAAATAACTGCAAGAATACCTGCCACAGTTCCAAGCATGCACTTAATATGAGGTGCACACTTTCCTGAGTTACTTACTCTATCACACATGTCCTGATTGCGTGTCCTAGTTGGACTTTACAGAGCTGGCAACTGGTAAGGCAGTTTCCTGAGTACAAATTACAGAAGTGACAGCATCTGAGATCTTTCCATCATGCTGATCCTCTACACAGTAAGTTTCTAATTAACATATACAGAAATGAGCTGAAATATATAGATTTTACATAAAATTGAGGATTATCAAACAGCCAGTGTGTAAAAATAGATTGGATTTGGACTATTTGTTCTTCTTTAGCTTTAAAAGCCAGAGTAGAACACCTCTCAGTCTTCCATGGTTATGCCCAGAGTTACTTGCTTGACAAAATATGATTCCATTTAACTGTTACATGTGTTATTTGTGGAGTCTAGAAGCAGACTTCTATATAAATGAGGAAAGGAAACACCAGCATCATTCTGCATACAAACTTTAAAAAGGAAACTGCAGCAGAGAAGGCACATGACACAAGCTCTGCATCCCCTTTAATTTTCCAAAAGCCAGAGGTTGAGCAAGTGCTGTGAAATAACTCCAAATTATTTAGGAAATTCATTTCTTTGTAATTAAGGAGATTAAAGTCCTCCAGGGCCAGAAATCATGTGACAACTCAAATCATTTTCTCCAGTAAAAGCTGTGAAACCCTATCAGTTAAATTCAGGCTCGTCTAGAATTTTGAAATGCTTCAATAATGTTTCTTTGCTCCACACAATCTGCAGTAATTTAATATTCCTGAAGTGTGTCAGGTTTTTTATAATGAGCTCTTCAAATCTAAATGTGAATTATGTAACATTCCACTACAGACGTTCTCTCTAGTGAACTGCTTCTAAAATGTAAAACTCCATGTTCAGTGATGGAGTGGGGGCCCAAACACCAAACCATACTGAAGAGAAAACAGATACACTTTAAAAAAAAAAAGAAGAATGAACGTCTCTGCAGCTATGACAGCACACACTAAAACACACAGTACAAAGCAAGTTTGTCTTCTCTTTTCCCTCCCCAGCCGTCGCCTCCTATGATCCTAGAGAGAGTCTGCTGCTGTTTACCAAGGAACCCTATGTGCCAGGGACCATGCTCTGAGCCTTGCAAACACTACCGATCAATCCCTTAACCACTGTAAGACTTAGCTGTTATGATCTTCAGTCAACATATGAAGAAAGTAAGACACAAGTCAAGTTAGGAACTTGTCTGTGATCACATGGCTAGCAAGCAGCAGAGCACAAGCCACTTTCCCATCTCAGCTTTACTCCAGCCCCAGTGACCATCCATGGGTGAAAAAGCAAATGTGGAATAACATACATCATCAAGAATCTGCGGTACCCACACGGGCTACAACATAGATGAGCCCTAAACCATCAGGCCAAGGGGAAGGACTCAGACCAAGAGAGACTGCGTATTATATGACTCCATTTTTGTAAAACATCCAAAAGAGACAAATCCATGGAGACAGGTCAGGGCATGTTAGAGCCCGGTGACATATGTGCTTGATAGGCACAAGGTCTTCATTGAAGAGGTGAGTAAACTTTGGAACAACACAATGATGATGCTAGCACAAAACCATCTGTAATAAATGTAATAAATCTCACTTTAAAATAATTAACTTTATGTTATAGGGATTTCATCTCAATTTTAAAAATAAACCAGAACTCCCAATGGCTTGATATAAGTCTTCTGTGATACGCAAAGGATAATGCAAATCCCAGCATAAGAGAACAAGGCAGCCCTGACACCAGATGGGGAGAGAAGCCCCTTGCCTGAGGCCGAGGGTCCACATGGCAGCAAGCCAGGCCTTTATTAACACCTGAGCATCACTACCTGCATGCTCTGTCACCTGCGGCTTCCCACTCAGCTGCAGCCAAAGTGTAAGGCATCAAGAACAAGCCATTAATCAGCAAGTCCCACAGACTTGCACCAGCACTGCCAAGTCCAAAAGATGTGGGCACTTACAAAGCACTTGAGAAGTCTAGCTCAATCTACAGCTTGTTACCTTCTGCATGAGAGTGCAGGAGACATAAGTTACAGGACTTATCTTTATAAACAGAAACACAAGACAAATAAGCCAGAATCCAGAAGATCTGTTTTTTGGTGGGGCAGATCCCTGGGTGGGGCAGTGACTGACTGAAGAGGAGGAAGGATGAGGCACCGGGTAACACATCTCAGAGTAAAGCTTTTGGAACAAGTTCTACATTTTTTCAGGTAAATGCTATACCTGAAAAAATTAAATGAACAGAAATGGAAAATGAGAGGAATCTTAAATCTAAAAGTTTATTAATCCAATTGTATGTGCAATGCACATCATAAGCATGCTCTCTGAAGGCTTGGGAGCAAAAACTAATCGAGCAACCTGTGAGCACAGAATTCGATGCATACACTCAGTCCTATGCGGGTGTAGGCACAAGTGACAACCCCAAATACAATCCAGCAGGCCTGGCTTCTTTGGTAGTGGTACAGATAAAGCAAATTCTGAAACAACTTTAGATGTGTTAGAAGATTGCCCTCAGGAAGTAAATGTATTGGTGTTCTTAGGAATCTTGGTCTGAGAAGAGAGGTTAAATTATGGAAAGAAGAAGGCAAGATGGAATACTGTAAACAGACTAGAAGTTGGAGGTCTTGGTGGAAACTCAGGACTTACAAAATACACATGCTTTTTATATAAATGTATATATGTATATATTCATCTGAAAATACTTCATAGTTCTGTCCACTAAAAGGAGC